TACCGAACTGGATATGCGGCCGAATTATTTGGTTCACAATTTCGTTATTTTTATTTAGCTCCTTTTAATATAATAAACAATTATTTCGGAAGCAGGGAACGTATATAAAGAAACCCCCAACATAATTTATCTCTTTTTCTTATTTTTTATTCTCTATTATTCTTTTAATAGTGACTATATTTTATAAAATAAATATTTATAATTTAAATTTTCATTACTTTATTTTATTAGCTTTATTGAATGCATTCTCAAAGGATTTTGACTTTTGAATTTATTGTAACATAAATCTTTCATAAGAAGTCTTGTCTTTTAGTATTAGTTCTATACCGTGTCGTACACTCAAAGAAAATAGAAATACTCGAACCGAATGTATTCGGCACCAAAATCAAATAATTCGGCCAAATACGAATAGTGGAAAAGCCGCTGTATACGCCGAATACCGAATACCAAAAGAATATTCGGCGCATCTCTTAATTAATGTTTTATCATCTGCAAATAACTACATAGACAACGTTTAAAAATAATATAAAAAGAAAAAAAACATACAAGATAGTAAATACATAATGATGTAACTGTGTATAGCGTTTAGAAAAGTGTGAAGACTCAGTGCATTTAAATCACCCAAGAATGGGCGAAGCACCGGTTTTCAGCCATCACCCAATCTATGATGAGCGGAAGCAGATTTTTAACAATTTATTTTTTTAAATGTTCTTCGGTTTAATGAAGGATTTTAATAATTTTTTGAAGTTATATATTGAAGTTCTTTAATTAAGTTTGTTTGAATAAAGATATTTGGACATCTACTTTCACTGTAATGTGTACCTGTTGTTGTAGGTATTCTATTAGTGTTCGGTGGTAACGCGCACAATGATAGTGCTGCCGCAGCAGTGGCCAGTCCAGCCGCCGCCAGGTGTTACTCTGCCGGCGGACTAATATATGACGTCAGGTGAGGCAGAAACCAAACGGAATGAAGATAAAAACTCTTTCATAATTACGTTTCTATGTAATTGTGTTTAGATAGAGTTGAAAATTGAGTAAGATTTTTTATTTTATTTTTTATTTTGGTATAATATTTTTGTTTTTATTTAGCATACAAAAGTGGCAGATAGTGCGATACCAATTAACATTTTGTAAATAAGAGATAATTTTAAGTGATTTTTAATATAAATTAACTTAAAATTAAATATATGACATATTTGTCCAATATTTATTTGTGAAAAAGCGGAATAAAACAACATGGAACAGTATTTTTTATAAAATAAAACAAAGAGTATTTTAACAATTCCATTTCTAAACAGAAATTAATCTAACGCTATGTTGACAACACATTGTATATCACATCAATAAATAAAACTAAACACTTTAAACCTTATTACTTGTCAATTGCGTTCTCATTCGGTAGCATAGCTACTAATTTTTAATTAACCTCTTACGCTTCTATGTATACGTGTGCTAATCGGTACATGTCTGTGTCTGGTAGATGTCGAACCTGGCGCAGCGTGACGCCGCCCAAAGGCGCGGCCCGCGCGGCGCACGCGGCCGCCCCGCTGCCGGACCGCAACCCGCCCGCTGTCATCATACACGGAGGGTGAGTATATACGACTATCGTCATCCTCGGGACCACTCTATGGTCCCTTGCAGCACTATCATGGGGGTGTGGCTTCTAGCTAAAGAATTGTTAAAATCTGCGCAGTAGTTTCGAAGTCTATTGATTGTTTGTTTACAATCACATATTACCTCTCTTTTAAATTATTTATGGATATTCGAGCTATTTAAATATAATTATAAAATATTTTTAATAATGTCAAATATTTTATTTTATTTGTATCAAAGGTTTATTGTGCTTTTCAAAGCATAGGAAAGGTAGAGATGGATAAACCTTAGACCGACAGTTCTAACTGAAGGCACTGTGCGATCGAGAATACTATACTAAGTCGTTCATTTGATATATTTTAAGTGGATTTATTGTTTTGCCGTACATTTATATGACAAGACTTGGCGATTTCTGTTCAGTACCTTAAATGGTCCCATGTAATATTTCGAATCACATGAGTTGGGATCGATAGTACATTTGGTATTTTAGCACATTATTGCTGACTGTACTTTTTAATCACAATCTGATCATACAGCTTAGAATATCTCAAAACCTCTATATCATGTACATCTCAAAAATCCACCTAACATAATTTATTTTGTATTTTTTTAAGGTTCGACGGTCGTCTCCGTTCGGACGCTTTGCTATTCGAGGCGGGTGATAAGTGTTCGTCGTACACGAACGAGATAGCGTGCGTGGCCGCGTCCGCGCAGGCGGCCCGCGCGTGCGCCTGGCACACGCACAAGAAAACCTGTCTGCCTGTAAGTAATAATAATAATAATAAATAAGTAAAATTTTATCCTAAAATAATAATAATAAAAATATAGTAGATTACGATGTTAGTGCTTTATGATGGTTATAACATGCGAGGCATGACAGACATGAATTTCAGCCCGAACCGAAGACGATTGAGACGACGGGCGTAATTGAGCCGAGCATGTTATAACCAATAAGCACGTATATCGTACGACGTTTTTTATCACATTAGCGGGGAAACAGAAAAAAAAAACATTAAATAAACTCAATCTGTAAATTTACACTGTTGCTTTCCCGCCAGTTTATCTGCCTACTGACTGGCGCCGCGCGGCGATTAGTTCGGAATATGGAATGTTATGGCTGTTATGGAATTTGTATGGACTATAACTATTTGCTTTGGTAACGCACGCGTTTTTTATGACCCGCTTTACATATTTAAAACCGGTGGAATTACATCAGCTTTACGAGCAAAGGTGTTAAAAAAATAATAATATCCCAACTTCTCTTCACGATCATCAGAAGAGGTTGGGACTCCGTGACGGACCAATGATTGCGAGGCTCCAGCGGACGATCTGCTCGATGACGCAAGGATTGTCCGCCGTTTTCTCTCTTTGTCGCCTTGATCCCCGGCCGTCTGGCGTCCTCTGTCGGGGGGAATCCTCCCACCCCTCGAATCGTCGAGGGGTCGGGAAGAGTAGATTATAAATATAGACAATAATAATACTTATTTCAAACTTTTTTATGTCTATAAGTTGTTACTAGTGATATGTTTTTAATATTTTCACACGCACTGATACGGGTGTTGACGATTTTTCATATATTTTTATTTTAAAGAAACTCTTGAAATATTTAAAATATATAATATATATGAAAAAAAAAATATCTCATATATTATAAAATCTAAAAATAAAATTCATGTTCCAAATTTCTCGCTAAAACGCTAACCTCGATCATGGCGTCGATGTGACGTCACAGTTCTATGTATGTCAATGTCAAAGTCTAATTTATGACATCTTCCTTAGAGGACTGTGACGTCACGCGCTGTTTGCAGTCACGTGACAAATAGTTTAAAATAAGTGTTTTTCTTAATTAATATAAATAAAATAAGCATGGTACTGTAATTATCGGTAATAGAATATTAAATACTACCAAAAAAAATTCTATTTATTTTCGTTTACTCTATTTCTCTGCCCAAATGAAAATACACCATGCATGCTATTCGGAGTTTGCTGTACGAAGCAATATTTATAGTGTAATATTAATGAAATTATTTGTTTCAGTTAGATGAAATCGGTTGGAAAGAGTCGTTTGAAGGAAATGTGAAAGCTTGTCAATCAGAGCCCATCTTCGGTATGTTTATAAAATATTTGCAGTCTCATTTTTGATGACTAGAAAGTTAATAGTATTAATATTTTGTGTTTGTGATAATTCTTTGTTTTTTTTTTTTCATAAATTCGCCTTTAAAACCGTTTATTTAAGGCGGAAAATCGTTTACAGACGAGCGGTTGTGTATGACAGCGGAGTCGTGTACTGCTTGTACTGCAGCAGGTTGCGCTTGGTGTGGAACTTGTCTGGCATCGTCTATATTCTGTATGAAACAACACACACATCAGGTATTATTTTTTTATAAAATTTAGTATTTATTTTCTATGACTCAATATTGACGAAATTCAGCTTTGCGCTTCATATATTTGATCCCAATGGTTACCGTATTACATGTGGGTTGCGAAATCTAAGATTTTGTACACATCTAAATAACAATTCCAAGAATTAGAGACTTTAATCAAATAATCTCATATACATTGTGTAAATGTGATAAGGTTGCATATGCTTTAAATTTTATCGTTTAATTCATTTAATCAATGAAACTGCACTCTTTGTTAGGCAAATTTAAAATGGTTCTAAGTTCATTTAAAACTAAGCCAATGTAAAATCCACATAAAGCATCGTCGTAGTATCATTACTGAATTTTAACTTTTAATGTTGAATTAGATGATTTTACAATTAGATGTTTATTTTTAATTAAATGAAATAAATTAGTAGTTTTCTCATACAGGCCGCACGTAACAAGTTCAGAAAATTTATTTCAAGAATGAAGTTTCATAAGGTGTTAATACGGGTTAATATCATTAATTAATATTACTAGTTAGAGTATGTTATGTTTCTTGTACGCTTCAAGTGTATTAAATGAAAGTTGTGTTATTAGTTGACTTGTGTTAAATAAACTTCAGCTCTATGCTATTATGTTACGGTTGACATTTTCAATATAATTTAAAGTACTAAAGATTTGTATCGCTTAGACGCTTGAATCATGTGGTGCTCGATGGTGCAGCTTATTGTGACAGCAGAGATTACAAGCCTGCTTACAAAAGATTATTTATTATCTTGAGTTTCTTCATTTTTAAATACAATGTTGTTGTTACATTATATTATGTCATAATATCTGTCAATTTGCACGAAGTCCACGTGATTCAATGGATAGGGAAGGTCTGTTCTTCAATGAATTTATTAGAAAACTTAGGCAACGGTGACACACAATAATGTTATACTTGTCAACCTTTAATTAAAGCGATAAGCAATAAAACCCTATCGAGATCTCTTTCTTTTCTGAGTGAATGAAAGAGAATATTTCCTTGGGCTTTAGTGTTTCATCCGTAGGCTCGAAATATAATTCATATGATCATTTTATCTAAACTATATTTATTTGATATGTGGATAGATGGCGCTATCGATCGACGAGTGTGGAGCTAACAGCGAATCGCCGAGAGAAACCTGTGGCAGGTTTCATTCCTGTGCCGCGTGTTATGCGCATCAGCATCACCACATGCATGTGAGTCTTATATTTGTCTAAGCATAATAGGCTTCTGTCCTACAACTGAAAATGCAGGATTCTATTATATGTTCGGAATATATGAAGCATTTTAACTTATAAATATTAACAACTAGCTGACCCGACAGACTTCGTCCTGTCAAAAAGATTTGTAATGTGGCAGTTTTTTTGCCTACGTATTTAAAAAAATTCTCCTGAACAGAACCGTCACCCTGGTGATAGGGCGTTGTGAATAAAAAATAATTAAATAAAACATATATAAGGATTTAAAAGTAAGTAATCGCTTTATTGTTAATCATGTGAATCATAATTATTATTGCAATGTATTAATAGTAATAGTATTAAATATAGAAAAAAGAGATTTTTATGATCATAAAAACACATTACACACAACAGCATTATAAAAGTAAACTATTCGAATTAAAAAAATATATAAACATTCTCAAGGAAAAATGCTGGAAGAATCCATCTACCTGTACCCCGGAATGGGACTCGAACCCATTCGCGATCCAGGGACTGCTCTAACCAATGAGCTGTCTAGGACCCAACAGCTTTGCTACTACAGAGCGTATTTTCATCAATGTTCCGGCAATACATGTAATGACGTGGAAACTGATGCATTTTATCTCGCGTGCCGAAACTAATACAAAAGAAACGCGAGTTTCGGAACGCGACATTAAACTCCTCCAACTATGCATTCTGTGCTCCAACGCACACACGCACATTGTTTTGATAGATATGATCTTTGACGTTAGGAACACACCTACATTGCTTAGACAACAGTGAGTGCTTGTAATTTAATATGAACTTTATACCATAGCAATAAAGCTCAAATTGACTACGTTTTAGTTACAAATCATTTGTATGGGAAAAAGAAAAGGGCTATTTTTAGGGTTTTTCCAGCAATAATTCTAATTTTTCTCGCCGTAAAAACCATCCTTGAACTTCAACGAACATTTAAAAAAAAGATTTGGCTAAATTGGTCGAGGTGTTGTTGAGTTATGCGCTTACCAACACATTTTGCGATTCATTTTTATATATATAGATAGTAGTTTATGCAACAGTCATATAAGAAGGGGTATATTAAAACACGAGAGTCTGTTTATTCATACAATAGTAGTTTATGCAACAGTCATATAAGAAGGGGTATATTAAAACACGAGAGTCTGTTTATTCATACACTACTTCACTCAGGAAATATTGAAATTAAACAAAGTCGGTAGGTTACAAGGAAGTAATTTATGCGTGCGCCATTTTTTTCACAGTTCGAATTGCGCATGCGTGCGCCTTTTTTCATTTTCAGCCTAAAACCATAGACTAGTTTAATGAATAAAAAAGATAGCGGTACTATAATGAGTTTTATGATACAGTTGGCGGTACTATAATTAGTTTTATTTTTAATTTTATGTATATGCGTTTATAAAGGATTGTAGGTATGTATAGAATCGTCTTTGAATTCGTAATTCGAATTTTTCAATTTGAGTGTAGATGAAATAAATTTTATGGCATCAATTTGATGAAAACTTGAAAAAAGTAGCAAAATAGAATACTATAAATTTTCTAAAATTAATTTGGCATTAAATTAGTTTCATTAAACGTTACATATTTCACTATAACAGTTATGAACATAAATGCACAAATAACAAAGATATTACAAAAATTGTCCAAACGCCCATACGTTTTTCGCTTGCGTAGCGCCGTATGACGTCACTTAGTGCCTTTAATTTATATGGAGCGTTTTCGGCCAACTACCTACAGTTCCACAAACAGCGCCATATCACCAAAACTATTAATCGCAGGCGTGCAACATCGACTTCTACATTATTTCTCAGATATAAATAGACTATTTATTTATAAAATAAAAGTTGACAACTAGCCTATTATACGGAGCGAATCCTAGGCGAGTATTATTATTTTAATTAAAAAGTTTGGTTAGTTGACGGAAACACCATATCATTTTAATAAATATAATTGACCTGTATAATCTGTAATGTTAAACTAAAGTTTAAAATCTATTTTATATTATTGTGAACAAAACTCACACAACTATGAAAGTGCCGTTCTTCGATTAGAAATGTCAACCTCACATTTGTACATTTTTAAATAGATATGGAGCTGTTTACGACCTACAGATACTTATGTTAAATTTCATTTTCAGGGCTCTGAAGACTTGAGTCAAAGACTTTGTTATTGGGATTATGACACGATAAAATGTAAACCTGCTAATTCATCAGATGACATACGGTAACTATTGTTTTTACAAATCATCACTTCTAATGTATAATAATGGATCTTATTTAATTTCCGTTGAGTTAAAATTCCTATCAGTTAAAATGTAAAGTCAACATCACCTTAATATAGCAGTTAAAATAAAACGATTTATGGATTGGATAATTGATTTTAATGGTATAGTTGTAAGGTTGAAATTTCTTTATATATTCCAAGGAGTGTCGCGTCAGCTGGGCCTTGCAGCGCTCCTTGTTCTACCTTCCAAACGTGTGCTAATTGTACAGCGGAAGAATGTATATGGTGCGCTTCTGCGGGCAGGTGCGTTGATAAGGTGAGCAAATATACCTTTTAGCTTATACGAAATAAGACGAGATTTAGTGTGACATATATTTTTGTGTGAATGACACAATGCAACTGAAATTTTAAAACGATAAATATATGGTGAAACTTAGTACGGCACTCCACGACAGGGGCTTTCAGAATATCAGTTCTTTTGTGATGTCAACTGTTGCAAAAGATATAACTGAGAGAGCCACCTAGTTGGCCTCCCAATATATCTCTAGTGCTATTTTTTATATATATATTTTTTCTATAATGTTGTATATCTGTATGGTGAAGGCCAATAAAAACATTTCCTTTCTTCTGTCTTTCTTCCTTCTTATGTTTATGAGTCATAAATTTAGTATCAAACTATACTCCATTCATTATAACATAAGAAAAAAGAGGGGTCATAGAAGCAGCAGTGCAGAACATTTTATTTTCAAGATAAATTTAAAAAATATATAACGACGGGTAGTTCGTAGAGGCTTTTACGAAGCCCAAATAGATAGTCCATATCGGAGGACTATCTTTAAAATAACACTGCAGGCGTGTATACCAACGTGGATTTGTTCCATTTTATCACTTTTCTTACGAATATATAACGAGATGAGCGTGATGTCATCTGATGTCTTTACGCCTCGGCGTTTGGAAACAGAATGTGTGCCAAAATGGCGGCAACTTGGTTTTTATAAACGAACTGTCAAAGTCAGTGTCACCATTCTAATAAAATTAAAAGTATCGATGATCACGCTCTCTTTACAATCGAGTAATTAAGTAATCGAGTAACTAGCAATTAAAATAAAAGAAACTAAATCAAACGATCTTCGTAATGATGATGCGACATATATTATATTATAGTTTTGTCGAAATTTTGAAATTATAGTATTTATTATGTATAAGAATTTATAGTATTTATGTACTTCATTTATTCATTAAATATAGGTAGAGATATAATATCATGGTAAAGTTTGAGACACCATAAGCTACCCTAAATCTAATCTAATGTAGATATAATTTTCGTTCAGTTCACAAGGTTGCCTGGAAGAAATTACTTTTTAGTAATAAGGCCGCCAATTGTGCATTCACATTTTTTGTATCCCTATATTTGATTTTGTCCATTGGTGTACAATAAAGAATTTTTCATTCATTCATTCATAAAGGTAGTCTAAAAGAGCTGGGCAATTTGCCATTTTTACGATACTTCGTGGTTGAGATAAGGCCAGCATTTTCTTGATTAATCTTTTACTCCCAAGCCAATATGGAACTAAAACTATCTATCTGTTATTTTGATAAATTCTAATTGTGAGTGTATATAGTTAGAACAGATTTTGGTTATATCTTTGCCCAGGAAAGAAAGGTAAACAAAATGAAATTTTTATTATCACTTTATAACATTTATGCAAACATTAGACTATTGATGAAGACATTGGAAAAACTTCCTGAAATGTCAAAGATCGAGGGTAGGTATGGGGGCTAAGAGCGTAATGTACCAGTACATATTTAACAAAACTTAACAAAAATAAAACAATAACAACTTAATCACGGAAAACGGCAAAACAATAAGAAAGGCAGTAGCATTCACAGTGGATGACAATCCCAGATTAAGTATTTTGAGAATTATGAATACATCATAGTCTGACAAAATTAAAAAGCTGTACTGCCGAAACGTTCGAAGGGATTAGCCAACCTTTTAAATTTGGTAGAGTTATAGTGATATGAGAATCGTGCCGAAACTATCCAACCCTGCTTATTTAGGTTCTTTAATATGAACACTTTTTATTGTAATAGTTGTTAAATCATTTAAGTTAGTCAAATACTTATAAATTTGTTTAATAGATAGCTTAAATGACAACAGTTAAGTGTAGCTGCTGATATTTAAGTGGATATGTAGTAATTTAGCCATCAGTCTTAATAGTAACTTGATTATTGATGTTTTGTCACAAAGTATACCATAAAAAGAACCTTATTTAACTTCTGTCTAATGCTATAATGAATGGAGTATAGGTATTTTACTAAGTATTGGTTTAAACCTATTCTTAATAAGATTTTATATAGTTTTATCTTAGGTATCGGAACAAATAAAAAGCGGTTTTTTATTCTGGAAGAACATTGACATATTTCAAAGTCTTCGCGGATGATTGACGCGTACTCATATTCGCTTTCGCAACGCTCGGTGATCAGACGAGTGGCCGTAGAACCGTCTTAAATTTTGTCGTATGGTGAGTAGAACGCATACGGGGCGTCGTTCCCGCTGGGCGGTTGCCGTGCGTGGTCCACTAGCGGGGGCGCGAGCACGTGCGGGTCGGGGGGCGGGGGCGCAGGCGGCGGCGGCGGGTGCGGGGCGCACGTGTCGTGTGCCGCGTGCCGCGCGGAGCCCGCATGCGGGTGGTGCGACGACGGCGCCGGCGCCGGCCGCGGCCTGTGCCTGCCCGGTGGGGGGCGGAGGCCGCACGCGCCGCACGTGTGTACGCAACATAGGTGCGTATACGTATACCGCAAGACACAAAAAATACGTTTTTTCTTTTCTGGTAGTGTTTAATATACTATTACGGATAATCACAATTTTATGCTTATGAAATTTACAAATTTGCATAATGAATAGTTACGATAGGTACCAATGAGTAGCGCTTCAACCTACCGCAAATCTGACGTAAGATATTCGCGTATATTGCATGAATTTTGATCTTCAATTACTTTTCTAGCTGATACGATATTAATGTCTATTTCTCACATATCATTTTTCATTTTACATAAAAGTGTGTACGAAAATTCAGCACTCTTAACAGTTTTTCCGCAGATGATACCTATAATGTCTTACCTATTATTACTTTCTTATATAAATTTAAAAAAGGTAAATAAATTCATCCTATTACCGATACTTAACTGTTGGATAAAGCAGTATTATGCACTGATTAAACATCCTGAATACCTATTTCTCACAACTCGTTATATACATAATTCTTCGAGCGGAATGCCATACAGAAAATTATTCGTTATGACTACATTAATGCACAAAAAGAAACACGTGTGTATATTTTATTATAATGATGGTCTTGTTTATATCCGAAAAATGTAGGTAATCAGCTAAGTCTGTTAAAAAAAGGAATAGTGTATTAATAACGTTATACATAATCGGTGTATAGATATGACGAATCTTTCAAGCACTTGTTAGTTATTCGTTACTACAGAGAGTATTTTCATCAATGTTCAGGCAATCCACCCAAACTGCCAAAAGAAATATTCTTGCAAATATTTTAAACTTTCGATAAAGTTTAAAATTTGTTCTAATCTTTGATCCCTGGCGATAAAGTAACAAGTGTTTGAAAAATTCGTCAGTCCCGTTAGGTTCTGGGTAGGTAAGGGGTTAATAACGTTATACATAATCTGTGTACCGGTGTGCAGATGGCACTTCACCCGTTGCCCGGCGTGCCAGTGCAACGGGCACGCGGTGTGCGACAGCGAGGCGCGCTGCATCCAGCCGTGCGGCGGCCGCGCGGTCGGCGACCACTGCGACACGTGCGCGCCCGGCCACTGGGGCAACCCGCTCAACGGGGGCGTGTGCCAACGTTTGTATACCACTGTTGTTTGCCTTACGCACGGTTAAGGAACCGAATAGAGATTGCCCTACCCACTGAAACTCCCTTCCGCCCGCTCACTCCCTCGTTGCCCGCTCGAGCGGGGGGAGGTTACGGTGGAACGGAGCGCGCTATCTAGCAAGGAAAATCCGCGCCCGTATGTTATTCACCTCCTCCCGTTTGGACTCCTCGGCCCCCCTCTCGGTTGGAGATGCCCCGGACAATGGGCATCCTCCGGCTTCTTTGGAAGGATTGCTGGGTCTCCCAGGCCTTCCCCGGTTGGCAACGTTAGTATACTATCCTCACTAATCGTCATGTCATGAATGAAAACTAATTTTAAATGGTCTTATCATAGTATAATACAGTAGCGCAACTTTAGCTATTTCTAGAAATATTTATTTATATTTAACATTGGAGCGGTTGCCCTCTTATTAAAACTATAAAACATTTGTATACCCAATTCTAACGCAAATAAATTATTATTATTATTACAACATTGACATTGTAAAAGATCTTTATTGAATATTATTATCTATATATTAAACAATGAAAACTATTTTCGTCTGTCACTATTCCTTCTGAACGCTTTAGTATTGATTTTTATTGTATAATTAATCCTCATTCTAAAATCGAAATGTTCATTTACATCGTGTACTCTCCGTACGTCTAATAGTCTTGTCTGTGGCAAGCGCACTGCGAGTCGCGTTTAGGATGCTCGTAATTTTTTTTTTTGTTTACATATATTGGTTCAAATTGCTTAGAAATTAATTTGGTAGTTTTTTACTTTTACCGCGTTCATAGACACACGTGACATGGTGTAGAGGCGTCACATACATAAGTAACTTTAAGTAACAAAAAGATTTCTGAATACTGTATTTTTGAAGTTCTAATTACAATTAGGTATAATATGTGGTATTAACACGCTATTCTATTCTTTTACAAAAACATCCTCAAACTCCACATTGAGCAGGGCAGAGTTTGATCAAATAAAACTTACTTCAAAAGTTAATAAGATTTTTATTCTATTGAAACTCTGTAGCGTTTTTTTTTAACAGAATAGCATAACCGAATGTTGACCGTAATTCAGAATTATTTGTATTATTTAATTAACAGCATGCGACTGTAACGCCCAAGCCGTGTCCTGCGCACCGGACACGGGACGATGTTACTGCACCACCAAGGGGCTCGCCGGGGACAGATGTGACAAGTGTGACAACACTAATCATTATCACGCGGACGTGTACAACAAGGGCGCGTGCTACTGTGAGACAATCAACATTGTTATATTGAATAAAGTCACTTTAATTATTTAATGTTATATCAGTAGAATTATCTCTTCTACTTAATAGTGTTTGTAGATGGTATATGTGTGTGTGTGTGTGGCCAGCAAGCCTATTTGCTAGGCATGTCGATCTGAAATCGATTAATCTAAAACAATCGATTTCGATACATCCAGTCTTGAATAGATGTTTAAACCGGACCGATTCAATTTAATTCAAGAAATAGTAATATAAAATTCCTAGATTGGATACGATATTTTTAATTTTTTAATATTTTGCTATTGTCGGACGTATTGATAATTTGAACGCATAAAATAAATATTAATGATCGCATTCGAATGTTAGTATAGTTGTAACTACTGCCACTGTTACTCCAGCTCGTGGAATAACCCATCTATTATAACAAATTGCCTGATTGGTCCCCTACAATTCCTGCATTACTTGTATTAACGATAAATTATCATCAATAATGCTCTGTGTTTATATAAGGCATGTCAGATTGCAAAATTCGCGATTAATCGAAAATCGATATTTTAATCGAGAATCGATTCGAACCGATAGTAAATCGACATGCCTACATTTGCTAACTCAACTGGCAGTTTAAAGTCGCAATTACCGTAAAAAGTCAACAGGTAAAATGTGTCAAAATCACATAGTTGTATGACAGCTTGTCGGCAGAGCTCTGCGAACAATTTATTTTGATTGTCCTCAGGGTTACAAAATAAGCAGGCTGATGTCGGATAGAATAGGATTCGTTTTCTACTCCAAACTCTAAAGTAATGACCTTTATTTATATTGACAGACGATCTAGCGGTGGATTATCAGTTCACGTTTAATCTGTCGAAGAAGGAGGATCGTCATTTGACGGCGATCAACTTTAGGAATGCGCCAGTGAAGCCAGACGTGGACGCTGATTTCAGCATTACGTGTTCAGCGCACGCCCGCATGAATCTCACTGTGAGGACCAGAGCGGAGCCCGCTGAACGAACGCTATTCAGCGACGTCAACTGTTCCAATTTTAAATACAAGTTAGTATAAATTAGTAGTCGAAAATTTGGCTACTTGACGGGTGAAATGAAAATGGTAACTTATATCTATCTAACAAAACCTATGCAGTATTTGCATTTTGAAATAAATTGGATCGTAAAGTATATTTTATCTTTGCAAAATAACTTACAATTTAGAATCTGTGGATTAAAAAAACCGAAACTTAGGCACCCATCACGGACTATCGTGACGTCACATTTCAATAAACTAAACGTCGATGTCTTTGTTTTCGAATATTTGTTTGATTATATTCTTCGATTTAGATATTTATCCAATTAATTTCAATTTTTTATTGTATTAATTTCGCAAATAAAGAAATGATTTATAAATATAATTTTAAAAAATATCTCAACTAGTACTCATATTTATTGACATGTAACGTTTAGGCTCAAAATGTCACGTGTCAATGAATAAAAACATATTTTTTTCATACTTTTTTTTCGAGGTAAAGAAATTTGAAAGTAATATAATTTGAAAGTACGAGAATACTTTTCTCAAAACAGTCTATACTCCATTCATTATAACATTAGAAAAAAGAAGGTCATAGAAGCAACAGTGCAGAATATTTTATTTTCAAGATAATTTAAAAAATTATATTAGTTTTGTTGAAACTTTGAACGTTAGGTAGTCTGAAAGAGCTGGGCAATTTTCCATTTTTTTACGATACCTCGGGGTTGAGATGAGGCCAGCATTTAATAAATTCATCTTTTACTCCCAAGCCAACATGGAACTAAAACTGAAACTATCTGTCTGTTGTTTTGATAAATTCTAACCGTAAGTGTAATTATTTAGACTATTGATGAAGACATTGGAAAAACTTCCTGAAATGTCAAAGGTTGAGGGTAGGTATGGGGGCTTAGAGCGTAATTTTTGTAGGCCACTCGGGCTTGCACCGGCATCGTCCATATTTAACAAAATTTTAACAACAAAAACAAAACAAAAAAAAAAACAATAACAACTGAATCAACGAAAACGGCAAAACAATAAGAAAGGCAGTAAGTAGCATTCACAATGGATGACAATCCCAGATTACGATTTTAACAATAATGAATAAATAATAGTCTGACAAAATTAAAAAGCTGTACTGCCGAAACGTTGGAAGGGTTTAGGCAACGTTTAAAATTTGGTAGAGTTATAGTGACATGAGAATCGTGCCGAAACTATCCAACCCTGCTTCTTTAGGTTCTTTACGATGAACACTTTTTATTGTAATAGTTATTAAATCATTTAAGTTAATCATATACTCATTAATTTGTTTAATAAATAGCTTAAAATGTCAACAGTTAAGTATAGCAGCTGATATTTAAGTAGTAGCAAATTAGCCGTCAGTCTTAAGAGTAACATGATTATTTATATTTTGTCACAAAGTATACTATAAAAAAACCTTATTTAACTTCTGTCTAATGCTATAATTAATGGAGTATAGTAGCCAATTATATGGCATTAAATTAGTTATATATAACGTTACAACTTTCATTATAAAAATATAAATATAAAAATATAATATAAACATATATGCCCAAATAACAAAGATATTACAAAGATTGATCATACGTCCATAATTTTTCGCTACCGTAGTACTCTGTGACGTCACACCTTGAATTTGTAGAGACCGTTTTCACCCGACTAGCAGCAGTTCCACAAATATAGCAACCGTATCTCCAAAATTATTAATCGCAGACTTAATGTTACTTCTACATTATTGATATCGATTTTGAACTTTACTTTTAACATGTTAGGGTTTAAAATCTGTTTTCAAAATTAGAACGAAGTCAAAACCAGTGTTTTTCCGTACAAAACTCAGTACAATGACTCGTAGAACTTTCCATTACAGATTCGCGAAGTCTGAGCACTCATTCGGCGTGGAGGACAACATAACTTTGACGACTTTCTTCGTATACGTGTACGACTTTAGGCCGCCACTGTGGATACAGATATCGTTTTCGCAGTATCCAAAATTGAACTTGCAACAGTTCTTCATTACGTTCTCGTCGTGTTTTTTATTACTGCTACTTGTGGCGGCAGCGCTTTGGAAGATAAAACAGGTAAATAGAAATGTATTATACTCGTGGCTTCGCCTGAATAGGGATGATGACTGGGTAAAAAAAAATGCAATTCTATTTAGTCCGTCAGTCAGATAATAGAAAAATATTAGATACGTATTTCTTTTTACTTCAATTTAACAAGAAATAGCTTAGATAACAGGCATTAAAGTTGAGGAGTGGGGGCTCGCTACGTCACAGTTGAGTAGAAAACGTACACTAACGTGACGTCTTGCGAAATTTCAACTCAATGTAACGTCGTAATTTTATGATTACGAAAAAAATACGTGTTTAATATTTTTTAACACTTTACCTGACGGACAAACAAACAAAAATTAGTCATCATCCCTATTAAAGCTTATGTAACCCGCGTACGATGTAGCTTGTCCTAGGTGAAAGAATTTTTAAAAGTGGTTTTTGGATCGTAAAGTATATATATGTATGTATATGGACATAAACATACAATCATATCTTTCCTCTTTGTTATATTAAGTGTACATATAAATTATATTCGTCATGTGTATACTTAGTTGTATTAAAAGATAGTATTGTAAAAACAAGGGACATAATTTAATCAAATTTACTCTTTTACGAAACTTGTTACTTTAAAATTGACACACTGAGAAGATATGCGAGTGATGTATGAAATATATATATTTTTTGACAATATTTATTATTTTATTCTGAATGTAATAAAAACGTAATTTTGATTAAGAACTAGGTAAAAACTTTGTTTTTATTTACTTTTTGTTTCAGAAATATGACTTGTACAGAAGGAGACAGCGTCTCTTTGTAGAGATGGAGCAGATGGCGTCCAGGCCTTTTAGCCAAGTATGCGTCGAGTTCGAGCGCGGATGGCTCGGCGGAGGTGATATTATGTTTTTAGAATTGTATAATCGATCAAGTTACCGAAGAATATTAAAAACGATTTTTTTTTTCGTAATCAGTTCATTATGGTGATACATTCGAAATGTCATATGACATCACACCTTTGTATGTTTTCCACATAGTCGTGAATGACGAAGATATTCACCCCTTCATAATTTTGATGCGCATTATCCAAGATATTTGTCTTTAAATTGAAGCAATTAAAAAATATTGTATCTAATATTTTTCTATTATCTAACTGACGAACTGAACAGAATTTCAGAATTTTTAATTCACTCATCATCTCTATTCCCATCACTGGTGATAAGGTAACGTGTGTAATGGCTGAGTGCAGTTATGGGTCACTCAACGTTGTATTGTCCTATTTATTGCTAATTAACTTGTATTGTGTATTTAGACGTAATTAAGTAAAATTTAAATTTAATTTAAAGAGATTAAGTATATGTAAATACACAAATAAGTAATAGGTAAACATTTAGGTAACTATTTAAGAGGTTAATTAAATTAAAATCTACTGCAGGACACATATTGAGGATAATTTATATGTATAATAATATGACCAACATGGAGCAATAAATGTTATGATTACCGCTATCGGCCGGTTTCTGAGTCGAGATAAATATTAAAACTCGACTAATTATTCTTAAGAATTATGTTGATCAATTTCGTGTTCACAATGCTATACTTAAAAATGTTGAAAAAAATGTAACAAGTGCTTGAAAAATTCGTCAGTCCTGTCAGGTCCCGGTTAGCTCATTGGTTAGAGCAGTCGCCCGGATTGCGAAAGGTCAAATTGTATTTTTTAAGCATTTTTCATTAAAAATATTCTCAATAAATTAAGTCCTTTATTTTTGACACGCCAAAGATTCCTTGTCTTTACCAAACTAGGCGATGGCAGTTTGGTAAAGACAAGGAATTTTCGGCGTATCATCAAAAAAATATCATAAAAAAAAATTCTCAATTGAGAAACGCCCGGTTTCTATACGACTATCGTTTACCTAACATCGACGGCGCGTATAGATGCGTGACGTGTGACGTGTGTACGTACACAGGTGGTGGCGTGCCCGCGCCGGTGGCGCTGGAGCCGTGCGCGGGCGGGCGCGCGGCGGTGCTGTCGCTGCTGGTGCGGCTGCCCACGGGCGGCACGGGCCGCGCGCCGCCGCTGGGCGGGCTGGCGGTCGCCTCCGCGCTCGTCACGCTCGGCCACCACCAGCACCACCCGCACCACCCGCACCAGGGGCACCAGGCGCACCAGGCCGCGGCCAAACACCACCATCCGCACTGACACGTACGTATGCATAGTGCTCGTTGCGTTTTGGCAATGTGATCGCCTTTCGTGTTACTGTATCTAGTTTGATGTATTTCATAATGTAATAAATAATATTCATTCATTAATTATACAGTTCGACTAAAAAATGATTTACATTTGATCAATTTTGCATTCACAATGCTGTACTCTAATGTTGGGATCAGCTGTAGCTCCAGATAGCGCCATATAATACTGGTATAATTCTTCAGTCTTGATTTTATTTGCGAATAAATCACTTATAACTAAATACTAAGATATTGACTCTATGCCGATCTCGATCAGAAAGAAAGATTATCAACCAGCAAAACACGAACACGCGAATTCGAATACGAAAAAGTAATAATTCAAAATATTAACGACCGGCTTTGACCATAAATTGTACGCAGAGTAAACCTATAGAAACGTGCACAGACATTACAGTCCTGAAAAATATTCTTCGATATCGCTGATACCTAAAAATAGCACGCAGTAGCGATACTATAAAAAGAAAAATCCAAGCATATATTCACAGACCGAACACTTGGTCGTTACTGAGGCTTCGCATACGCATATTACTTACTTACTGCTTTTGTTAAAACGATCTATGCAGAATCATAGATGCTTGGCTACAGCTTACTGTCTTTCATGTCGCGAAACATGCTATTTCCGATCTAAATATTATATATTTTATGTTGGTAACACTGTGTAGAATCATCATAACTTTGACATAAATTATGGCGGGTAAAAAAAAGGTAATATTTTTTTGACAATAAACAATAAAGTCAATATTACAATGATGAAAGATATAAGAGTTTGAATAGTTACAATGATAAAAAAAATATTGAATTAAAGAAACCCAGGCCTGAGAACAGTAAAGATTGCTAAGTGGGAGAGTTGCACATGTATTATAATATGTATTGTATAATTGTGTGAAGATTCCTCTTTATGCCTCTTGCATTGAGAGATACATGAAGATGTGTGATGATAAGAGTAATTGTGGAAAATCTGGAGGTCGAGGTGGTCTATGGGGAAGGAGGCTCCTCAAGAGCTATACCGACAATATGTCTATCTATCTTGAGGAAGGAATCATGAAGACGACTCCTGGGTAGACATATGCTGTCGGCTAGAAATGTTAACAACATGCTGTAATGTTGTGTGTAATCCACAATGTTAATGAGTTACAAGTAAAGCATCTGATCTCACAATGCATGTCCTTATGTGTGTGTATGCATGTATTTGTCGCAATGACATCCCTTAAAATTCAGGCGTAAGTGCATAATATTATTAATAATATGTTCCGCGACAGCATCTATTGGCGGTTATCTATGAACGCTGTGAATTCAAAATTGATGAAATGTAATAATTAGAATAAATTTTTATCTTTATTGAAGTTTAGATATGTTTGTAAAAATATTTCTTTAGGCTGTTTGGGTAGATTGCTTGAGCATTAACGAAAATACGCTCTGTATTAGCGGTAAAGTAACAAGCGCTTGAAAAATTCGTCTAGGTCTTGGGTAGCTCAGTGGTGAGAGCAGTCGCCCTGATTGCGAAAGTTTATGACTGCATAGAACATTTGACAGACTAAATTGACGATAGGCATCTTCATTTTAAAGAAATCTATACAATCAAATAATTTATCGCGACATTTAAGCATTTCCAAAAGATCATTATTATAGATAATTTAACACAAATATAAGATTAGGTATGGCGCCTCCAGTTTAGTTTGGATTTCAAAAGAAATTCTATTTTTTGGGGTAAAAACCGTTTGAAATATTATTAACTCACAGATTTCATGATTGGATCAGTATTTCTTGAGATCACTTCCTACAAACAAAGTAAGCAACTTTGCCTCTTTATAATATAAGTATAGATGTAAAGCAATAATACCGAATATTGTATTGTTTCAGATTACAACACCGATGTATATAAAATGATATAATGTAAGTGCTGTATATAGATATGTATTTAATTCGTTGCTCAAGCCGACGTTTGAAATATAATTTAATACTCAGTCATAATGTTTGTACAGATAAATTGTGAAGTTCAGAATTGTAGCGAGCAAAAATGACTCTTGTGGCAAATGTACAACGATATATCGTTTATATATAAACTGCCAGTCATTTGTAATGAGACACATTTTAATTTGGCATGTAATCAACAGTTGATATAAAATGTTTCCTTACAAAACACTCCATCATATTTAAAATAATAAGTTTTTTTTACTTTTATATTGAATTAGTTAATTCAGCTTGATTTTTTCTTAACAATTTTATTACAATTAAATTAATTAAAGTTTTAAATAATAATTAAATACAATTTATTTTTCTTTTGGAAAATTTTAATGTATTGTATTTTAAACATATATTTATTTGGTGTTAATTAAAATTTTATAACAACTGTTATGTTAAAAACGTGCCAGTTAAGTGACCATTGAATAACTTCAACCTTTGTAGTTTCAATGGAGAGTCGAGCTATTTTTTTACTGTAGACGTCATAGAAGTCTTTATTCTATTGTCAAATTAGAAGAAATCAAATTTCAACTTAAGGCACTATTAAGGCCAAAAATTTGGTATTTTTTAACAATCAGTGTGTCTGATTTGACGACAGAAAGTATAGGACAGTATAAAATCGACAGTATCGATAATGATGAATTGAAAAATGTTTAGTAGTTACACAGTTATAATCACTGACTTCCGCTTACAATGTTGCCAAATAAAATTTAAAAAAAATTGTATTTTTGACACGTAAATTTTGCACTTGTAGAGCAGCTAGTTATATTGCGGTGTTTACATGAATTTCGGCCATTGTGATTGTGAAGTCACAATGTTATTTTTTATTATATTATAGTAGGTTTCGCCAGAGAAACGTTGAAATCTCTCTATTTTAATTTTAATAATATTTTTTACATGTATTTTATAGAATAGTCTTATTTATTTTTTACAATTGAATAATAGACTTATGCTCGCGTGTATATCATGCTTGTAAATTTGAATATCAGCTTAATTAGTCTTCGAATGATTGTATTTTCATACATTAATGTGTATAGTAGGAATTAGCTGACGATTAATCGTTGGTTATCAGGGCCTTTACAGACGGATCATATTTGAACTGCATAGCTGTTCGAACGCTTTGTTGGTAGAACGGCAAATATATTTGAGAAAGTCTACTTATTTGCGCGCACAATGATAGCGTAGTAAAAATCTTGAGATGAATTTACAGTCAAGTTCCACTGTATCTAGTTTGTGTAGTATTTAGAAATGCAGTTACATCGACTACATTCTGATTATAATACTTCGAAGGCGAATGCAGTAAATAAGTGACCCGTCTGCGCGGAGCGTTGGTTGTTTTGACTGCGATTAGCAAAAGCACTGAATCGGTTAAATTGTATATTATGTCAATGTATTAATTGTGAGTTAATAAAATATTTTTAACTCGAACCAACAACGATATTAGTCATATAAAACATCACAAATGACCACGATGACCACCCGCCGATTGTAGGCAATTCTAAGTATATATATTTTTGTAGTTTCGGGATATGATATAAATTATTATAGGGATTGTTAAGATTTTGTTACACATAACAGACTTACAACAAAATTATTAGTATTCGTGCGTCAATGTAGATAGACGAAGGTAATTAAGTCATACTTTTGTTTAGAATAATATCAATTCAGATATTTATTTATTTGAAAATATATATATCACGTCTCTGATTATAGTCTGGGGTGGTCACGTGGTGCTAATTTTGCATTTATGTATAATATTATACAATAGTGCATATCTAATGAATATTTTTTAATCATTAAATATGCACTTTAGTGAAACAATTTAGTGTTAAAGAAGTTTTTGACAAAATGAAATTGACATCTCATTCGAATCATGTTTATCGATAGAAGCATGGCAACACATATTCGATGTACTTGTCGTTGTGCTAATGAAAATAGTGAACGGAAGTCTTTTTTTTATATACGTTTTGCGCTATATATTTGTCAATGTTATAAAACGGATCCGGTAGCAAGTTAGGTGTAAATACGCGGCTTCGTCAAGACTATGATGATTATATTTGGGACTGATGTGTAAATGGTGTATAAAAATGATTTTATTTTTTCTTTTTGAATGGTGGCATTTATTACGGATGTTGTGTCAAATCAGTTCCTTTATTTAAATATGAACAATACACATTCCCCTGGATAGAAAAATAACTTTTTATTTAGTCTCTTCTTTTTTTTTTCAATCCGCCTATGCTTTTTTTTTTCGTAATCCAATGATACATATGTTGCATCACAAGATCTTGACACAACATCCTTTAATTTTAAGTAGAGAATATATTGTAATATAGTCATAAACAATTGAATCCGTTATTCCTGATTTTTTTTTATTAACGGTAGCAATTTCTGAACAAGAAAGGAATGAATATGTAATTAAGAATTTTATTTGCATAGTTAAATATCATAAGGAAATCTTAAAGAAATTGTCTGTTAAATATAAATGAAATTAAAAAATTCTGAAAAATGAGACAACTGTATCTATACCATATTAAAAATTGAATAGTGACGAAAAAAAAAATGTCATTCAAAATTTTGTATTTGCTTGTATGGCTTCTGGGACAGATGCCTGTACCACTTGATTGCCATTAATCTAAGAAAACCTGTAAAAGTCTTTGTATCGGCAGATTTAATTCATGTTATAGTACATAGTAGTAGATCATGTTACTAATTTCCGCTATCAATTTTGAACGTACCAGTCAACACATTAAGGCTTAAAATCGATTGGAGAATTCGGGCCTTTTGTTTACTATATGACGTGATGTGTGTACTTACACAAGTGAATGAAAAACGTATAATCTTAATATCTCATTTATATTTTTGTATTTGCTCATTTTCTTTACTTTTATTAATGCATTAATTGAAATTCTTTCAAAATTTTTATTTTTCTAGTATCAATCATATTATGTGAATAAAAACAAAGTAGCCTTTACATTTTTCAGTGTTAAAAAAAAATATATAGATGTATAACTTACTATTCGTCTGGTGTGATACTGTGAATAAAACAGAGCAATTGTTAACCTCAGGCAATATTTGGAATACAATTAATACATTTTCGTATTGTATTTTTAAGACATGTCCTTCGATCGATCATAACTCTCATAGTTATATTTACACATTTAACTTACCTTCATTATTATCTTGTTATACTTGGTATTGAGTGTCGTTTCCATCAGCCAATAATCTTGTTTTCCAATAATTAAGAATTATAGGTGAAGTGATAAATGCAGAATTATCAGTTGGTATATGAGTGAATGATTTGATGATAAAGAGAAGAGTGAGATTAGAACTCTGCACCGACCTCGAACGTATGGGATTGAGGCCGCAAGGAATAAAATTAAGTTACAAATATACTACAGTCTTGTTATAAATAAATTATGCATCATTATTCATCTCGGTCATTGTGTCTAAATAATGACGAACTGGAAGGCTGTACATAAAATTGTAAACATATTTCATATATTAATTTAAGTAACGTGCTTGTCATGATATGATGCTGCATGCTATTTTTTTTCTATCTTTCCTTTATATATATTTATAAAAATCCAGCTTATAAAATGAAAAATCTTTCCATTTTAAATTTATGCAAAAATATATAAAGCGAAATTAAAATATAAAACTATAGTGTTTTTTTCATCCTTTAGTATATTATGTACGTAAAATACATATATCTTATCACCTCTAAATATCAAATGAAAATGTATTTTTAACGATGAGAAGTAAATCTATAATTTATTCACAACTTATTTCTTCATTTGACTTCTTTCTATATTGGTTTTATATTCAAGCCAAGTTTGCACACGCTTCTTACATGTTGTACATAGACGATCGGATCAGAAACCGTACTCTATGCTCCATTACTGTTACTCGTACTGAAAATAGGCAAAGACAGCATAGAAATCTAATAATTAAGTTTTCGAACTCTTTGGAATTAAGAATCTGATCTGTCATTTATATGTCATTTCAGTAAACGGGTGTAATATATATAAACACAAAAAAGCGAGTGCTAAAACCGATTTATCAATCGTTTGAATTCGCTCAATACCAGTTTCTCAATTAATCTTACTTTTTCTAACCTTTCATATCAAGTTAACTTTAATTTTCGACCTAGGGCCGTCCATTAATCACGTGAGGCTCGAAAGGGGTGGGAGGGGAAACGCGGCGTAAAAAATTAAGATTTTTTGTTGGTATTAAAAATACACGTGATTTTGGGTAGCCTAAACCATGTATCACAAAGGGGAGAGGAGTTAAAAAATGCTGAAAAAACATCACTTGATTAATAGACGGCCCCCTATTAAATATTTATTGTTTTTTTTTAAATTTATTTTTCGAACATTCAATACTTTAGTATTGAAAAATATAAATATACAATTGTCAAATAATTGTTTATGATTCTTCATTAAAATAAAGGAAATTATATAGCCTATAGGAAATCGGGTTGAAAACACAAATTTTCAGTTGTCTTTAAACACCAAGTTTTATTTTATTAAAGTTTGAAATCGATTGAAAAATTAGTAATTTTGTCATAACGTGATGTACAGGTGTGTGTTCATTCAAATTAGTTGGCTAATAATTATTAAAATGACAATTTCCATGCCAATCATTAAGTGTAAATATAAATAATATATATAAATTATTGTGGGTGTAGGTTAATGGTGCGTTACATAATAAAAAATAAAAAAAACAATAAAAATGTCCAACAATTAATCATATAAATGTCCAACACTAGTGAAAGAAATAACATTTTTTCAGTGATATTTATAATCAGTAAAATAAACTTTATTCTTATTTATTTTTTATACTAAGTACATAATTGAAATTAAAATTTAATAATAAATGATTTATGATGCCATATTTTTAAATTATTAATATATTTTTTAATATGTATGTACTCGTTTCTGTATTTTATATCCAATTTTAAGTATAAAATGTCTCTTTTTTTCAAAACCAAGTTGCTTATACTTTAAAACTATTGTATATAAGGTTGAAAATTGAACATTCGGGTTTTTTTTTTCTTCTACATGTATAAAGAAAGGGACTAAACTTAAATGTTAATTGAATGAGTGGAGCCTGAATGTTCCCTTTATTAACTTTAAGTTGTAATTATGGTGTAAGTTTGTCAACAGAACATGCGGTCATTGAAATCTGTGGAATGCTACAATTGATTTTAAAAAAATTTAATCGATTATGAATCGATTTGATTTTATGGTAATTTTTATGTGCTAATTTGTAATGATAATCAATGGTGTTTCAATAACACTTGATAGTTCTTATTATTTGAACAGATTAACTGTCACTATTGAGTTGTCAATCGATTTTAAACCTTAATCTATTATTGTTAAAGTTTCAAATCCTTCGAAATCCTATCCTATGTATTTCGATGTATACAAATCATTATCTAAATACAGTGGCCAAATGGAATCAATTGAAACACGGTGGTCTTATTTATGTCGTATTTTGAACCAATGATTCACGATTGTCTCCTTAATCAGTATCATATAACCTCCCACATGAGCCACTCCTGTATTATAGCGTCATGTATACATAGTATATATATATCATAGTGTATCGTGTACTATTGTTGACTATAGTAAACTAGACTAAGCATAAACGTGATTAAGCGTTGTAAATATCCTGTCACATAAATTATTGTATTTCATAATAAAATTATCAATCGAGAAATTAAGTTCTTTAATTATACCCAATTACTCTTATTATGATTTTAAGTGTTTTTATTGCCCTAATTCTCTGGCTAGCAAACCAAATAATATGGAACCCTAAAAAATAAACGTAGTTTTATGTGTTTATTTATTAATATCCAGTGGTATCAACCGCACTCGACTCTTTCTTATACGAATAAAAAAAAGTAATTTAAGAATGTGAAGTCAAGAAAAATATATGTTTTAATTAGATTTTTGGTAAGTGATATTTGGGAGTAGACAAAACAGTTCACGAGTTCTTCATGTAATGTAATGTAATGTAATGTAATACTCTTTATTGTACACACCATAAGTTAATGGACAAATATACAGTAATCAAACAAAGTAGTACAATTGGCGGCCTTATTGCTAAAAAGCAATTTCTTCCAGGCAACCTTAACATAGCATACAGGATACAGTTGGAAAAATTGGGTAGTCTATGGTGCATTAAGAAGTCTACAGGTAACAAAACATTAAGCAGGAAAATTGTTTATAATACATAAACATACATAGTTACATATATATACATTGATACATAAATACATACATATACACTTACTTAAGAATACATAGTACAAATACACTTACTTAAATCATAATCCTATGACTGCTGCAATGAATTCAGTGATAAATAGTGCTCCTTAACTAATATTTTAAAATTGTTAATAGTTTGTGCACGCCTAATATCCTCCGGCAATGCATTCCAGAGGCGAGCAGCTTGTACTGTGAAAGACTTGTTCAGAAATTTACTTGAATGCATTGGTATTGCCAATCTCAGATTTTCCGACGACCTTAAAACTCGTGCGTGCGTATCGTGAAGGAACGTGAAGCGTTCCTTGAGGTAAACTGGTGAAAAAGGATTGAATAGAATACTGTAGACGAGAGAAACAATATGTGCATTCCGGCGAAGACGAATTGGTAGCCACTTGAGCTTAGTACGGAAATCGGAAACATGATCATATTTGCGTAATCCAAAAATGAATCTGATACAGAAATTTTGAAGCCGCTCAAGTTTATTTAATTGCTCTTCAGTGAGGTCAAGATAGCTGACATCGGCATAATCTAGAATAGGAAGGAGAAGAGATTGTGCCAGCGCAGTTTTAGTGGCAATTGGTAGAAAGTTCCGTAATCGTTTTAAAGACCCAGCTGCAGCAAACATTTTACGGCTCATTTCTTGTACTTGAGGCCCCCATGTGAGATTTTTATCAATTAAAATGCCCAAGTTTCTAACACTGTCACTGGGTGTTAATGTAATATTATCAAACATGATTGCAGGTAGTTGTGTCCAATCGATTTTATTAGTCAGCGCAGAATTACCAATGATGATTATTTGAGTCTTGTGAGGATTTACTTTCAAGCCATATAACTTACTCCATCTACATATCGATTTAAAGTCATTATTCATGTCATTAATGGCTTGATGAAGCTGGTCAATACTAGCTTGTGAATAGATTTGTAGATCATCTGCATAAAGGTGGTAGGATGAAGCTAGCTGACAGGAAATTGAATTAATAAATATGGAGAAAAGTAATGGAGATAAAACGCCACCCTGCGGCACTCCAGCAGAAATATTACACCAATTGGAGAATGTATCCTCGATGCGTATTCGCTGCCGGCGTCCAGACAGGTAACTACGGAACCAATCAATCACCGCTGGAGATATGTTTATAGAGTGCAATATCCCAAGCAAAATATCAAAGTCAACGGTGTTAAAAGCATTGCTAAAATCAAGTAAGGATAAAACCGTGACTTTTCCACTTTCCATGCCTGATCTGATATCATCAGTGACTTTAACCAGCGCCGTAGCAGTACCGTGTCCAGCACGAAACCCAGATTGATAAATGTTAAGGAGTTGATTCTTAAGGAGGAAAGTGGATAATTGATTATGGACAAGACGTTCTAGGACTTTGGATAGGAAAGGCAGGATCGAAATAGGCCTATAGTCGATAAAGGACAATGGTTTAGCCTTCTTTGGTAAAGGGGTGACTTGGGCATTTTTCCAAATAGATGGAAAAACCCCAGTGCTTATAGAGTGGTTTAGGATGTGTGTAATGATGGGAAGGATTTCATCTAGGATAGGAAGAATCATCTTACGGCTAACATTGTCGCTACCCACAGCGCTGGATGTTATAGACATAACACTCTTTTTAACATCACAGTCAGTAAATTGAGATAGTGAAAAAGATGGATAGTTGGGGCATGGAAGAGATGAAAGAAATTTTAATGTATTCAATTTGTGCGATGTATCAAAGTCATGCAATGAACTAAAATGTTGATTAAGGAGATTGATATCTAAACCTGTAGAAGAATTTGTCTGACGTTGTTTACCAATGCCCATAGATTTAAAAAATTTCCAGACTTTCGCCGGGTCCTCGTTTTCAATAGAATTATGGATATAGTGGCGTTGTGCATTCCTACACACCTTATTACATTGATTGCGTATGTTGACGTATTTTTCCCAGTTTGACGCAGATGGCCTACACTTATATTTAGTTTTAG